CCTTCAGAAAGAGTTTGACTGTCATTCTATTGCCTAAAACGCCCTCGTGTTTTCCCCGGGAGCTTACGAGACCTGTTGCGATGGTGCTTGCAGCTTCTCTTTTTACTCCTTCCACTCCACCAATTGTACTTTCCGGCCATATCAAAGCCAGCTTCACATGCAGCTTCATCATAGCATCAAAAGCCTTGCTGACATGCTGTTTCTTCCCCGAAACGACTCCCGCTTTTCCTGGCCATCCTTCAAGCTTGAGCTCAAGTGCTTTCTCGGAGACCCAGGCTCTGTCTCATAGCAGGCAGAGTCCTCACCATCCTCCGTGGTCACCTCTCTTACAGCATTTGTGTAGTGGTGAGCCTTCCCCTTGAGCCCCTGGGGAAGGGGAGAGGCCTCATTTGCCTCCACAGCACTGAGTATATCTGATAAATGTTTGTCGAATGAATGAATGAATGAGTGAATGAATGAACCTCTTATTAAATAGCCACAGGGTGGTAGCATTTAACTGGCTGCCTACACTCGTCTGCATAGATACTGTCAAGGAGGGAAGGCTTTCTTTATCTGGAGAGCACTTGCTGCATTTATTCTGTTTTGCACTTGGTCTTCTTTCAGTGACAGGTTCGTCTGTGTTTTCGGTTCTGTCCTCCGGCCTTTTCCCCATTGCTTTGTCGTCAGCCCTGGAGGACGTGAAACTGCCTAGACTCAGGATCTGGAGTTTTGGCCGGAAGCCCTTCAGAGTTGGTGATCTGAGCGGTGTCTTTGCCAGCTGGAGCGCAGAACAAAGAAACCAAACAAACTCTTGGTGGATTCTGAAATGCAGCTTTTTGCCTCTTCAGAAATTGCGATTCTAGTCAGCGATGCTGACTTAGAAATGTGCGGAGAACTCAGAGCCCAGTAGCCACGCATTGCAATGTCCTTGCCTGGGGTGCGGCATTGATTTCTGAACTTGCAGCCTGTTGGGAACTGGGGTGCTATTGGACAACGACTGGGATTACAGTCTAATAGCATTGGGGGCAGGAAGGACTTCTTACTTGAGCAAATCTCACCCAATTCCCTAACTTTGGGAGGACAGCTAAGGTCACCTGACTAGGTAACAGCAGATTTGGGCTCCGATCTGGCTATTTCTGGTCTAGTTCATGTTCTTTTTAACAGCACTTTTTCCATTACTAAGGAGTGACAGTGCCGGGGTCATGCAGTAGGAGCAGCACCTTTTCCATGGTTCCCACATGCTTGGGAATGAGACTAGCTTATCAGAAGGTCTTTGTCCAAGTTACACAATTATGCTTTCTGCTTTGTTTTTATTTAAATACATTTTTATTGATTTCAAAGAGGAAGGGAGGGGTGAGAGAGATAGAAACATCAGTGATGAGAGAGAAGCAGAACAGCTGCCTCCTGCACGCCCTCTACTGGGGATGGAGCCCGAAACCCAGGCATGTGTCCTGACCAGGAATCAAACCGTGACCTCCTGGTTCATAGGCCGATGCCCAACCACTGGGCCACGCCTGCCAGACTCTTTTTTGTTTTAAATAAGAAAAATGCCAAGCACGTTTACAATGAGGATGTTGAGTTTTAAAAATCATTTATTTGAGTAGGTGACAGATGAACCTGATAGAACACTGCCAACGGCTCCTAGTGAAGGAAAACAGGAAGGGTCTTCCCGCCGCACCCCCATTTCCACCTCTGCACCCCCGGGGCCACTTGCTGCTTAGATCGTCTCTTTAGGTAGCGCTCACGAAAGAGTGCTGGGTGCGTTTCCTAGTGAGACGTTTCCCCGCAGTGTGAGCCTTCGGTTCCTGAGGACTCACTGCGGGCTCCTGCCCCTCTGCCCCTCGGAGGGGATGTAGCAGAGTGGGAAGAATCCTACACTGGGGACCATGGTCCTGATAGCTAGGCTTTCGTTCTGTTGTAGCCCGTTTGCACACCGAAGTCTGTGTCTTCATCCATCTCCTCGCCCCTCGGTGCATTGAGAACTCGGACGGGGTCTGCCTGGTTACACAGCAGCCAGGGGAGAATCGCGCTGCTTTTGCCACGGAAGGAGCCCAGGGGCTGGAGAGCAGAGATGACAGGGCTCACTGACTGAACTAGGAGTGCGTCTTTCTCCCTGTGTGTGTGTGTGTTTTATGTGATGGGATTGCGAGGCATAACTCATTTATATTCTGGATTAAATTGGGTTATGTGCTTGCTGCTCCAGAGCCTAACAGCTCCCTACCCTTTCTGCCGTTCACTCTCTGTTGCCTTGTACGTAGGCCTCGGTCTGGTAAGTCACGCTCACAGGCTCCGTTTGGCTTCCGGGAGAAGCGAGGTGTTGTGTGTCACCCTTCCTGGGGAGCCATCGAGCCAGGTGAGAGGTGTGCTGCTCCAGTCCCTCCAGAGAAGAAACATTGGACTGGAATGCTGAGGACTGTTTTAGCATTTTTATTTCCCCCTTATCTTTCACAAATAAAATTACTTAATTTCTCTTACCGTACTCCTCTTGATAGAGATCCCTTACTTACAGTAGAATAAATACCTTTCATAGTTAACAATGAAACAAAATAATCTTCTTAAATATTATTTGGTTTTCCTCAAAGCTAAGTGAAAAACAGGTATTTGAAGTTTCCAATGGGATTTGGTAAATGTGGTTTAAGTACTTTGGGAATGGAGAAAGGAAAGGCAAAAGCTAAAATAATCCCATAATCCCTTCACTTGAAGATGACCGATGTCAGCATTGTGTCCTTTCAGCTCTCTTCCTACTCAGGTTTAAACAGAATGAGGCTGACAGTGCATAAGCTGCTTCATAGAATTGACATTAAATGCATCTCCCATTTGATTAATATTCTCTTACAACATGGAAAACCATGTGGTCATTACAGCCACATGGAGGAGGATAAACCCTCTCGTACCAGAGAGACCTCCTCCAGGCGATTCCTGTTATCAGGCTGCTTTCAGGTTGCGCCACAGGGAAGGGATTAAGGAGGCAGGGGCGCCACGCCACTGGGTGGAGGGGTGGGTGAGGAGGAGCTGAGCTCGAGCTGTGCAGGCAGTTCTCATTTTTGAATGTCAGCTAGGATGGGGCAACCTGGAGGTTACTGCAGGTATCTTGATCATGTATATTTTAGTAGAACTCTATCTTTAAAAAATATTTTTATTGATTTCAGAGAGGAAGGGAGAGGGAGAGAGATAGAAACATCAATGATGAGAAAGAATCATCGATTGGCTGCCTCCTGCACGCCCCCTACTGGGGATGGAGCCTGCAACCTGGGCCTGTGCCCTGACTGGGAATCGAACCTGGGACCGACCATCCATTCTGCAGGTCGATGCTCTATCCACTGAGCCACACCTGCTAGGGTTATTTGAGTGGAATTCTTAATGCTTAGCAGAATTACTGATGTCATCATTGCTTCACATCGATGGAGGAATTTTCTTCTAATACATTAAATCCTGGTCAGTTTTCGTTAAAACCACAGCACAGATTTGTTTCCAGCACAGGTCTCATTAAAGGGAGGTTTGGCTGCACTCGGCGGGCAGATCGAAACAAAGCGCTGGGAAGGCTGGCGGTTTTATCTGTGGGAGCGAACAGAGCGCCTTTCTCTCCCTCATTCATCGGCAGGAAGGCGAATCTCGCTGCTTTGCGTTGAGGGAAGCAGGCTTTCTTCATAGGATTCATTTGCTGAAGTAGCAGCAGTCTGCCATCAGAGCTGCTGTGGGAAGGAGAGAGGGGCCCGGGCACCTCGCTGGGCCTCTCCTCTCCACGGGCATCTCCTGTGATGTTAATGACAGCGGAGCAAGGACGAGGAAACAGGCCTCACGGGGGACATGGGCAGGCACAGTCGTGTGAGGAGTGACACTCTGAGAACGCCATGCTCACATTCTCCCTCCACCCCCGTGGCTAACTCTGCAGAGGCTTGAAAAAACTTGTTTATAGCCCTCGCTGGTGTGGCTCAGTGGGTAGAGCGTCGGCTGAGGATTGAAGGGTCATGGGTTTGATTCAGATCAAGGGCTCATACCTCAGTTGCAGTCTCCATTCCCAGCCCGTGCAGGAGGCAACCCATCAATGTGTCTCTCTCACATTGAAGTTTCTCTCTCCCCCCCTCCCACTCTCTCTAAAAATGAATGGGAAAATATGCTCGGGTGAGGATTAACAGAAAAACCACCAAGGTTTGTTTATAGATGTATCATATTCAGGAACCCTAATTTCAAAAGTGGTCACAGTAAAAGAGAGAGAATTACTTTAAGCTTCCAAGAGCCATTAACCCAATTTATAAGACATTTATTTTGAATTCTTTAGTGCTCACCCGGTAGATGGAAATGCATTTCCCTCTCTCGTAAGAGTTTCTTTCTTTCTTTTTTTTTTTTTTAAATATATTTCATTGTTTTTTTACAGAGAGGAAGGGAGGGGGATAGAGAGTTAGAAACATCAATGAGAGAGAAACATCGATCAGCTGCCTCCTGCACACTCCCCACTGGGGATGTGCCCACAACCAAGGCACATGCCCTTGACTGGAATCGAACCTGGGACCCTTCAGTCTGCAGGCCGACGCTCTATCTGCTGAGCCACACCGGTCAGGGATTGTAAGAGTCTCTTGACAGTAGATGAACCCGATTGCACAGAGGTCTGTCTGAGTAGTGCCCTCACTGGAGCTTGCATCGCTCTAATTTTATGATGCTGCTTGGGGAGGTGTTTTTGGAGCTTTTCTTTATTGTGTGTGTGGATGGGTGTCTGCAATGGTATCCTAGAAAAGCCACTTTTTTTTCTGTAGAAAAAAAGCCTGAGAAGACAAATCTGTAGCCAAATCTTAACTAGGTGGGGCAGAGTGTTTAACTGTGATATTAAAGCGACCACTGACCAGACCTATCAGATGGTCCCATCTCATTTCCTGGAACCTGAATATTTATAATCCTGGAGTCCGGAGGGATTTGACTTTTCCTTTTCTTTGCATAGCATACGGAATGCTTTACAGTGTCTCATGTGTCAATAGGCATTTTACAATAATCCATTCCAACTTTGATTCTTTCCTACCTCACGCTAAGTATAAAGTTGCAGCATGAGCTGGAGCTGGCAAGAAAATGAACAGAGAACGGCCTCTGTCCAAATTAAGTTAAAAACACAGGAAGTTCCTGTGAGTAGTTTCCTGTCCCTTCCAACAAAAGCAAACGAAAAAACCTTCCATGGTTATGAAACTCCTTTCAGAGTTGCTAATATTAATAGTATGACTCTAATGTGCTAAATGGTCTGCTAGTTGTTCTCGCTCACTTAATTGAAGATGTTTTCGTAAAAGACAAATGCCTTGTTTTTCTCTTTCTTTCTCAGAGCACAGCCATGGAGGAAACGGCTATATGGGAACAGCACACGGTGACGCTTCACAGGGTGAGTTTGTGCTGCAGTAAATCATCTGTGTGCAGCTCAGGATATTGGCAGCTTCGGGGAACAATGGAGGAAAGCCAGATGTCAGGAAGCCCAAAGAAAGGGGCGAGCTTTTCTATATCCCTTTGTTTAAGATTAGAATTGCAATAAACTCGTTATTAAGGTCAGCAGTGACCCTGGTTACTTTTCAAACATCCTTTCCGTGGGCATTTGTGTACTTGCTGTTTTATTCCTGACTGAAGAAACCATTGACTGTAAATCTGGAGGGATCAGATAAGAGACGCGGTGCACTGTATACATGGTAAACTGCTTCAGCATTTCTGAGGACAGATGCATGTGTTGTAGGCTTGAGGTTTAAAATTCACCAGGTCTCGTGGGTAGTAAAATCTTAAAGGATACTTGTGGGTTTGGAACACGTAGACCCCAAGCCATCGCTTAAGCAGTTGCAGAGGGGCACAGAGCAAGTAGCAGGAAGCTGGTACTACCCTGCCTCTTCCCCTTTAGAAATAGGCAAGCGATCCCATCCCCTTCTGAAGTTGTGGTCTCCACAGGTGGGTTTTTTGTTTTTTGTTTTTTAAATTATTGATTTCAGAGAGAGAGAGAGAGAGAGAGAGAGAGAGAAACATCGACTTGTTGTTCCACTTACTTTTGCATTTATCGGTTGCTTCTTGTATATGCACTGATGGGGATTGAACCCGCAACCTTGGGGCATTGGGATGATGCTCTAACCTACTGAGCTACATACATGTAGTCATGTAACCACCACTACAGTAAAAATATAGAGCAATCATCACCCTGAAACTTGTGCCCATTTATAGTCAGCTCTGCCCCTCCCCCCAGCACGTAGCCACCACTGATGTGTGAGAACACACATCAGTGTGTTCTTACACAGAGATGTTTAGCCTTTTCCACAATCACATCAGCGAGCTCACACTATATGCATGCAGCCTTTGAGACTGGTTTCTTCTAACGTATTTGAAATTTCTTGTATCAGTAATTCTTTGTTTTGTTTTCTTTTGTTGTTAGTTTCTTCTTATTGCCCAGTAGTGTTCCAGTATATGAACGTAGAGTGATTTACTTACTCACTCTCCAGTTTTGATACATCTGGCTTTTTTCCAGTTTGGGGTGATATGAATCAATCTGCTCTAGTATACAGGTTTTTGTATGAACCTAACTTTTCATTTCTCTTGGGTAAATCCTTAGGCATGGAATTGCTGTGTGTCTTATGGTAAATGAATATCTAACTTATAAGAAACTGCCAAACTGTCTGTACCATTTTGCATCCTCGCTACCAGTATGTACGACCTCCAGTTGCTGTGTATCCGCACCAACACTCGATATTTTCAGGGTTGTTTGGGGTTTTTCATTTTCTTAATTTTAGCCACACAAATAGGTGTGTAGTGGTATGTCGTTGTGGTTTTAGTTTCTAGTTCTCTTAAGACGAATGATGTTGAGTATCTGCTTATGTGTTAACTTGTCGTCCATATATCTTTTTTGGTAAAATGTGTTCAAATCTCTTGCCCATTTTTAATTGGCTTGTTTGTTTTCTTACTATTGAGTGTTTTCTTATAATTGTGGTAAAATACACCAAACATAAAATTTACCATCTGTTCAAGTCCTTTGCCCATTTTGTAATTGGGTTATTTGTTTTTTAATTGTTGAGTTGTCGGAATTCTTTACCTATGTTAGATATTAACCCCTTATCAGATATATGACTTGCAAATATTTTTCCTATTCTATGGGTTGTCTTTTCACTCTGTTGAGTGTGTCCCTTGGTGCACAGAGTTGTTACTGAGCGTTGATAGTTCTTTCTATATTCAGGATACAATTTTAATTTCTTTCTGTCTTTGTCAAAAATCAGTGACCATTTGTGTGCGGTCTTTCCTTGGTCTCTTCAATTGATCTAAGTGTCTGTCCTCCTGCAGTGACTTCTGCCTTGACTACCATAGCTTTCAAAAAATTGTTTTCGCCCTAACTGGTTTGGCTCAGTGGATAGAGCGTCGGCCTGCGGATTGAAGGGTCTCAGGTTCGATTCTGGTCAAGGGCATATACCTTGGTTGCAGGCATATCCCCAGTAAGGGGTGTGCAGGAGGCACTGATCGATGTTTCTCTCTCATCAATGTTTCTAACTCTCTATCCCTCTCCCTTCCTCTCTGTAAAAAAATCAATAAAATATATTTTAAAAAATTGTCAATTTCTTGCTTTTTGAATGTTGCACAGTCTTGCATTCCCAAGATAAATTTCACTTGATTGTGATATATCATCCATTTTCTATATTGGATTGATTTGCTCATGGTTTTTGAAGATATGTGTTTCTGTGTTCATAAAAAATATTGGTCAGTACTTTTTGTGTGTGTATTGTTTTTATCTGGGTTTGGTGTCAGGGAAACAGCTATGCGCCTCAGAACAATTCCTGTGCAGTTGATGTTACTTCTTCCTTAAATATTTGGTAGAATTCATCTGGTTAGCCAGCCATCTGGTCCTGGAGTCTTCTTTGTGGGAAGGCTTTTAACTATAAATGCAGTTTCTTTGATGTTCTATAGGACTGTCCAGTTATGTATTTCTTTGTTAGCTTTTCTTTTTTGGTAGCTTTGCATCTTTGGTAATTTGCATCTTTCAGAGTATTTGTCCCTTTCATCTAATTTATGAACATAAAATTGTTAACAGTGGTCTCTTATTTTATTGCTGTAGGATCTGTAATGAGGCCCTGTTTTTATTTTTGATATTGGTAATTTGTGTCTTTTATTTCTTGGTCTGGCTGGCTAGAGGTTTAACAATTTTGATTGATCTTTTCAAAATACCAGTTTTTGTTTTCATTGATATATTTTGTTCTGTTTTTTATTTAATTGATTTCTGCTCTTATTTTTATATTTCCTTTTTTTCTGCTTATGTTGGGTTTAAATTGTTCTTTTAATAGTTTCTTAAGGTAGAAGCTAGATCATTCTTTTGAGACCATAGGTGTAATTTGGCATGATCACATTCCAGTTGTTTTTCCCTAGTACCTTTTAATTTTTAAATAAAATAAAATAAGACCCATTAGCTAAAATATGTTTCTCCTTCCTACTATTCTGCCTCCTTTTGTTAGGAATTCACGTGTGGGAAAACACTATATTTACTACAGATCATTAGCTTAGGCAAAGCAGGAAAAGCTCTTGAACGTTGAGAAATCAGAAACCGATTTTCTGAATGTGCTAAGTGTCACACCTGCTCACATGGTGGGTATGTACCCGGCACGTCCGAGAACTCCTGTCCGGAAGATGAGGGTCCGTTTCTCCTGTAGCTGGCCCCTGCCACGCTCCGTGTCCTTCTGCCACGAGAAGGGCACCAGCCCAGAAAGCTGTCATCGGAAGTTCCATGGAGATGAGAGGATGCCATTCACAGAGCTGCTGCCGCTGGGCCTCACCAGAGCGAGTCCCCGACCGAATGGGAGTCCTCAGCACCATCCCTGCGGGAGCTGTGTTTTGAAGGTTCTTGAAAATAGCCCTGTCGCTGCGAGCTGACTTACACCAGCCACACTCCACTCGACTCACTCTCCCCCGCTGCAGAATGGGACGTTCAGGCAGCACCGTCCCGGGGTGTTCGGAGTTGATCCAGAATAAAATCTGGCTCTGCTAGAGTATTGTCGGCCAGCTTTTCCTGTCAAGAGCCAGGTGATATTTTAGGCTTTGCAGGCCGTAAATCTCTCACTACTCCTCAACTCTGCGCTTGCATTGCAAAAGCAGCCGTAAATAATAGATGGACACACAGGGGTGGCTGGGTTCCAGTAAAACTTTATTTACAAAACTGGGCAGCTTCCCAGATTGGGCCTGCAGGCCAGGGTTTCTGACCACTGATGTAGAGCAGTGACTTCCGTCTTATTGTAAAGAGAAGTCCACTGGGTCATCCCCAACTATGAGATTCTGCGTCCCTTTGTCTGCCTCTTCCTAAGAGCTCCAGATTGAAATGGAGGGCACAGCCCCTGGCTTCACATTTCTGAGAATCATTGACAGAGGAATGAGAACAGTGGTGAGTGAAGGAGGTGATTGGAGGCGATGTTTTCGGCACTGACCTGAAGTATGGATACCACGTGGGGCCAAGTCAGGACAGATCCATGCTCTTTGGCATCTGATGGTCAATTGCATCTAAGGCAGAAGCACCTTTGTCTTTTAGAAGAAAAATTCTGTAGATGAAAACACAATAGTTTCTGCTGTTAGCTATCAAGAATAATGTCCGACGTGCTTCTGTATTGCCCCCTGCTTCTGTTTGCATTCCCAGAGGAGACGTCCTTCACCTGAGAGTATTAGAAGCCGTAGACATCCTGTTCACTCTGCAAGGCTGAGTACGTCGTGCTGCTGCACTGTGAGCCACGCACTGTCACAGCCCCTGGAATGATGCCAGAGAGCAGCTGCAGGCCGACTCCTGGCCTCCTGGGCTCGGCTCTGCCCACTGGCCCTGAGTGACAGTGAATGTGCTCCTCAGGTCGTTGTCGACCCTGTCTCCTATGCATCATAACTTCCTTAAGAGGAGGAAATGTTCGTCAGCGTTATATCCCCGTAGCGCTCGGCACTTAGTTAAAAGCCCAATAAAAGTTAATTTCCTCGGGGACCACCCTCGTCAACAAAGTCGCTCTCAGGAAGTCCAGATAGCAGCCTTCTCCAGCAGCAGTATAATGCGAAGACATGCGTAATCTAAGATTTTCTAGCCTTCATATTAAAGAGTGTAAAATACAGGCGAAATTAATTTTATAATCTTATTTATTTAGCTCAGTATATCCAAAATATTATCATCTTCAACATGTGAGCAATGTTTTAAAATTGAGGTACTTTACTTTGTTTTTTTCATAGAGTCTTACAAAACCAATGCACATTTTACAGTTTCAACACATCTCTGGTAAGACTAGCCACATTTTCAGCACTCAGTGGTCACATGTCTTGTTGATCATAAATTTAGTTTCCCTACCAGGCAAAGGTTTGAACACAAAAGCTATTGCTGCTCATGGCTGCTTATGGTCTCAAAAAGATGAACTATGGTGAGAGGAAAATTCTTGGGTGCTCTTTCTTCCATTCAAAAGCTACAACCATAAATGTGTGTGCACATGCAAATAAGTGAGATCATATTATACTGCTTTCACCCTCCCCCCCCAAATAATAAACATCTTAGACATTTCTCATGTAAAAACCAACTACCTTTTTTTTTAAAAAAACAAACAAACATATTTTTATTGATTTCAGAGAGGAAGGGAGAGGGAGAGAGAGATAGAAACATCAATGATGAGGGAGACTCATTGATTGGCTGCCTCCTGCACGTCCCCTACTGGGGATCAAGCCCACAACCCAGGCATGTATGTGCCCTTGACTGGAATTGAACCCGGGATCCTTCAGTCCGCAGGCCGACGCTCTACCTGCTGAGCCAAACAGGCTAGGACAAAACCAGCTACCTTTTGACACACCTAAAAATTTGTGTGGTAAAGATATATGAGAGAAATAGAATATTTAGCATTTCTATTAGAATTCCATTGTAGTCTTTCAGTAAGTCCAGCACCGAGCCTGCGGTTGCCTTGGAGTAATAATGTTTCTACCACTGTCAGTGTTGATGACTGGGAACAGTATTAACATTTTTTCCCATGTGTTGTTCCTCTTCCCATTTATTTTTATTATTATTAATTAATTAATTAATTAATTTTTAATATATTTTAATGATTTTTTACAGAGAGGAAGGGAGAGGGATAGAGAGAAACATCAATGAGAGAGAAACATCGATCAGCTGCCTCCTGCACACCCCCCACTGGGGATGTGCCCGCAACCAAGGTACATGCCCTCGACTGGAATCGAACCTGGGACCCTTCAGTCCACAGGCCAACGCTGTATCCGCTGAGCCAAACTGGTCAGGGCTCCTCTTCCCATTTAAAAAAATGGTTTTCCTATATCCATTTCCTACAGCAGTTACTAATGCAGTTCTTCCCCTAGTCCTCATGTAACTTTATCACCACAAGTAAGTATTTGTTCAATGCTGTCACCAGTCCTCTCGGGGTTTCTTGTCGCTTTGAGTGTCAGGATGGCATCCTCTGTTAGAGACCCTGTCTCTTGCATGTTCACTAGCTTCTCTGTGCCCTGACTCACTTGAGGGTCGGTTTTACTGGATGTGAAGTCCTTGGCTCGCTGTCTCTCTGGAGTATCTTTATATTATCTTTGGCATAACATGTTGCTATCCAAATGTGATGATAATCCAAGTTTCTTTATAAGTCATGAGCTCTTTTTATTTATTTTTATTTTTTATTTTTTTGCTTTATATGAGCTCTTTTTAAAGTTCCCAGTTAGCTCTTGAATTCTGTCAACTCAGTTCATGCTTTCGTTTTCTGTGGGGAAGTTAACTCTGCTACTCCTTATCTTTATTGTAATGTTGTAAGGGATTTGATCCTGACACTCTTTTTGCTTATTTTTATGCGAAATTAGTTTCTTTGAGGTTTTAGAAACTGGCTTAGTTTCCGAGCACGTGCGCGCGTGTGTGTGTGTGTGTGTGTGTGTGTGTGTGTGTGAGAGAGATGCATGTGCTACAGAACATACCTGCTGCTTTCTGACACTTATTATCTTATCTCTGCGCCCTTTGTACACATTGACCTGGCAGTTCTCTACTTTGTCTCTGCTGTTCCGTCCTGCTCAAGGCCGCTTCCTGCCAGCAGCGCCTCCTGTGTGGAGCGCTGGGCTGAGGCCTGGCCCAGCGTGCAGAGCCCCCGGGTCACACAGCTCCGGGACTCAGGCTCCGTGGCAGGTGCTGTTCCCACCTGCGGTTGGAGGAGGCACAGTCCCTCCCGTGTCAGCTGCTGGTCCCACGCTGTTTTGCCATTCTTCCCAGTGAATGCTGGTTATTATTTGGGTTCTCAGGTCTGGGTGTGTCAGACACCTGTGGCTTTCCTCCCATGTAGCTTAGCCCGATGTTTTCTATGCGTTCTATGGTTTCAAGTCTTTAATCCCTTTTGAGTTAATTTCTGTGTGTGGTGTAGAATAGTGGTGTAGTTTCATTCTACTTTCTGTGTCTGTAGATTTGTCTTTTCTGAACATTTCCTATGAATTGAATTATACGATAGAGGGTCTTTTATGATTGGCTTCTTCACTCAGCATGTTTTCAAGGTGGTTCATCTATTTCATAGCATGTACCAGTACTTCATTTCTTTTTATAGCAAATAATATGCCATTGTAATCATGTACCACATTTTATTTGTCCGTTCACCAGTTGGTGGGCATTTGGGTTGGTGTTGCTGGTGGTTTATTCTTTTTTAAGGAGAGTTTTTTCTTTTTTGCCACCTGAGTAGGGCTCGGGGTGGGAGTGAAGGTCATGACGTACACCCAGACCCTGGTGGACATGGTCTCCTGGTTTGCATGGCAGAGGGCGCTGTGGAAAACATGCGAGAAGATGCTGCTCTGGCTTATGATTCTGGATCCCTCGGAATACTGAGGTTTCCTTACACTCCTCTGCATACTTCCTGTCCTCTTTAGAAAAGCGGAGGTGTGGATTTGAGCTTATCTTAGCTCTTAAAGAACATTCAAGTAATTGGCAGTTTTTTGTTTTTGTTTTTTATATATTTTATTGATTTTTTTTTACATAGAGGAAGGGAGAGGGATAGAGAGTTAGAAACATCGATGAGAGAGAAACATCGATCAGCTGCCTCCTGCACACTCCCCACTAGGTATGTGCCTGCAACCAAGGTACATGCCCTTGACCAGAATCGAACCCGGGACCCTTGAGTCCGCAGGCCGACGCTCTATCCACTGAGCCAAACCGGCCAGGGCAAATTGGCAGTTTTTACTATTCTCGTATGCCATTTAATGCATTAGAGCGTGCATGCCCATCCAGGCTAGGTCATGCGGTGAGTAACCATCCGGGAGGGAGTGGTGACCACAGAGGAAATACTGTTGTCATTTTTGCTTGTAATGTTTTTAGTTTGTAGAGTGCGACATAATGAACGGCTGTTTGTCTTAATTAGTAACATTTTACTGCGATTGTCCCTCTAGGCTCCGGGATTTGGATTTGGAATTGCGATCTCTGGTGGGAGAGATAACCCCCACTTTCAGAGCGGGGAGACCTCGATCGTCATTTCGGACGTGCTGAAGGGAGGGCCCGCCGAGGGGCAGCTGCAGTAAGTGTGTCCCCTGGGCGCTGGGCACTCGTGGTGCTGGCCTCGGGCCCTGGGAACTGTTCATAGACCACCCGGGAAGTTCTCTAAGTGAATATACGTTTTTCCTTATCTCGATCTTAAGTGGAAAGTAAGTATATGAACCTTAAATACAGTGGTTCTCAACCTTCTGGCCCTTTAAATACAGTTCCTCATGTTGTGACCCAACCATAAAATTATTTTCATTGCTACTTCATAACTGTAATGTTGCTACTGTGATGAATCGTCATGTAAATATCTGATATGCAGGATGGTCTTAGGCGACTCCTGTGAAAGGGTCGTTCGACCCCCTAAGGGGTCGCAACCCACAGGTTGAGAACCGCTGCTTAAATAGAAGGTCACTGTAAAAATAGTGGAAAAAAACACATTTACTCAGTTTTAGGTAGAATCTAGCCTTTAGGAACCTCTCACCCTGAGCCTTGCCGTTTTTTTCAGTAAGATTATCAAGAGAAAGAGGCCAAAGATACACTAGCAAAAAAGTAAGAGTATAATCAGAAGGATTAAAAGAAAATCGGAAAGAGGAGTATCTATCTTTTTAAAGGGAGAATGCCTTTTCCCCGCTCTATGACCTATTATCATTTATGCCCTGTGCTTGTACCACTGGGATCACTCTGTGTGTGTGGTGCCTGCTCAGTTCTTTGGGAAACGTGTTCATGGCTTTGTTTTGTTTTTTAATATGTTTTTATTGATTTCAGAGAGGAAGAGAGAGAGGGGGAGAGAGAGAAACATCAATGATGAGAGAGAATCATGGATTGGCTGCCTCCTGCACACTCCACACTGGGGATTGAGCCCGCAACCCGGGCATGTGCCCTGGCCGGGAATTGAACCCTGACCTTCTGGTTCATGGGTCGATGCTCAACCACTGAGCCACACCGGCTAGGCTATGTGTTAATGGTTTTAAAAAAATGAGTGACCTGTGGGTACTTGCTAATAAGCGTGTTTGTGAGAGACCTGAAAGTAAATAGTTTGGCATTTTGTCACTGATCTGAAGACAAATAGATTACTTCATCCATAATTACAGTATTTCTTAGAAGTACTCATCTTGAAAATACCTTCACAAACTTACTTATATGTATGTTTTTCTCTAACGTGCTCTTTTGGTGACTTTTTTCTTAGGGAAAATGACCGTGTTGCGATGGTTAATGGAGTTTCGATGGATAATGTTGAACATGCTTTTGCTGTTCAGCAACTAAGGAAAAGTGGGAAGAATGCAAAAATTGTGAGTCTCTCTTACCTTTAATCGAGTAAAGATACCAGCTTCACTGTCGATAGCATTTCTGGTGTTTGACTGTGTCCTTCCTCTGTAAGAAAATGAAATCTGGGAAATACCGAGGAGTAGGGGAGGTGAAGTGGCACGGATCTCTGTCAGTGTTAGCACTTCCGCAGGAAGGGAGCAGCGGACGGAAGGATTGCCGAACAAGCAAAATATTTCTGTCCGGGGAAATGAACTTGTAGCGGCCTAATCAGCAGAGTGTGGACCTGCAGCCCGCTGAGGGGGAGCTAATTCAGGACTGGAGTTGTCATGGCACATGATTGAGGGTCAAGAGGAAGTCATTTGAATATCGCACATGCGCTCTCATGCAGACATGGGAGAACTGATGGGCTGAGAGAATAGGAGAGGACGGAGGAGAACCGCAAATAAGATAGATATGGAAAAGGAGTCAGGAGTAAAAGACAGGGCGTGGTACCCAAGATGTTACAGCCCTCTGATGAGACCAAGTGAGTACCAGGTGTGAAGGCCAAGGGCAGCCCAGGGACTCAGAGGCCACTTGGCCAGGAAGTAGTGCCTGTAGACCTTGACCTTCAGGGAGTGGAGGAAATAGTGGACCCGGAAAGTTGGACCAGTTACCAGAGTCTTTGAGGGAAGAGAACCTGGAGCAGTAACTGACACAGAGACCAGAATTACATCACACTGCAGGCAGAGTGTGCTGGAGAAGTGAGCGAGTCTGAGATCTGACACTAAGCTGACGTTAGTGTGGCGGTGGAATACGCTTATCTCCTGGACGTCCAGTAGGACCGTCATGGGCCTTGATACTGACGGGTTCTCAAGTTCTTAAGGAGTCACGTTGGGCTTGCAAGTTTGCTATGGTTTGGTCACAACTAAAGTACTATTTTTAAAAATACGTTTTTATTGATTTCAGAGAGGAAGGGAGAGGGGGATAGAAATATCAGTGATGAGAGAGAATCATTGATCGACTGCCTCCTGCACGCCCCCTACTGGGGATCAAGCCCGAAAGCCAATCGAACTGTGACCTCCTGGTTCAGAGGTTGATGCTCAACCACTGAGCCACTCAGGCCGGGCCTATAGTACATTTTTGTTATTAGAGTAGAGTGCACCATTTATTTATTCAAACCACCAATAATTATTAGTTTTCCTTTAAGCTTGTGATTATTGCACCTAGAAGGTCTTTCTGAATTAAAGCAAGGACTTTCTTAGGCCCACTCTTCCTAATTTGGTCCTTAAGCAGATCTCTTTATCAGGAGAGCAGAAAACCCAACCATTATGGAAATGTATTCCTTGGTAGTTTGTTATAATTGTTCCTTATATCTCTCTGATTCATAGTGGACTTAATTAACGTGGCACCAGAAAAGTGTAATTTTCCGCTCTCTCAGGAACGGAAGCCTCCTGTGCTGTGAACAGCAGCCACTTTCTTGACAGTCTTTTTCTCTGTAGACCATTCGCAGGAAGAAGAAAGTTCAGATTCCTGTGAGTCGTCCCGACCCGGAGCCCGTGTCCGAGAACGAGGAGGACAGTTACGACGAGGACGTGCACGATCACAGAGGTGGCCGTGGGGGCACGGTCAGCAGGCGGAGTGAGAAGAGCTGGGCGAGGGACAGGAGCGCCAGCCGGGAGAGGAGTCTGTCCCCGAGATCCGACAGGCGGTCGGTGGCCTCCAGCCAGCCTGCCAGACCCACCAAAGTCACGTTGGTCAAGTCCCGGAAAAATGAAGGTATCCACCAATTTGCTTATTGTTTCCACAGAAAAATTTTACACGAATTTTAATGAGAAGTGAACATGCGTCTCTTCCTGTCTTTGCTCTTGTTGCCTTGTTCTCTCCTTTCTGTGTCCTGCTGCTGCTGTAGTCAACTCCTGCTAGGACAGGCTTCAGACAGTACCTGTTTTCTCTTTTTTTTTTTCCTTTTTAAATAGATTTTTATTGATTTTAGGGAGGAAGGGAGAGGGAGAGAGAGAAACATCAATGACGAGAGAGAATCATTGATGAGCTGCCCCCTGCACACCCTTGGAGTAAATGAATAAATTAGTATAAGGAATATTTTGGGAGTCATCTCTGTTCTGGTCATTTGTTACTTTTAAATCTTGAATATGGACAATTTTTCCCATGTTTCTCTGTGACATAACCGTTCCTAAACCACTTAGTAGATGGCCTAGATCCCCTAGAACAGCGGCTGCCAACAGGTCATCTGTGAGGTCCGAAAGGTTGGTGACCGCTGCCCTAGAAAGTCATTTTCCTTTTTCACCGAGTCTATTCCTGCTTGTGAGTACTCTGTATATTTGCCTTAAGTTAAACTGTAACTGATGTAACTTTTGGAAGTTCGAGTAGCAGTTCTGTTAACTTATCTCCTATTAAAACGTTTTCTATTTCCCATCTTGGTTCTTCTTCTTTTTTTAAAATGTAGTGAGACTAAGAGTCCTTTTCTCCCTTCTAGTAGCACTAGCAGCAACCCTTTTCCTGTTGGCGCCATGTTGTAGTTGTTGTTCTAGTTAAAAAAGAAATGTACAGCTTTGCAGACTCTGGACTCTGCTGGTAGTTTCCTCAACTCTGACCAACTCCTCGCTCACGGATGCGGTGACTGTTGCCTCATTCCTGGCTCCTTGGTTGGTTGTGGAAAGGACAGGAGTGGCGGGTCTGTCTCCAGCCCATACCCACCTGGCTAGCTGACAGCCTTTGTCTGCACTAATACCCAGGAGTGTGTGCTAATGAATGCCCTGGGGTATGGCTCTCCAGGGCCACAGGCACTAGGATCAGATAGGAAGACTTTTGCTCTAGAAACTTGGGAAAACAAAAACAGCACATGCGTGGTAAGGCAGGCCATCCCTGGAATTGTCCCTTCCCAGAGTTCTCCGCCTCACGCACGGTGCTTCTTGGAATTGTGTTCTCTCGAGCTTGGGAAGCTGTGTGCCATGGCCCATGGCCACAGAGAACGGGTCTTCTCCGCGGGCGTGGTCTCCTTCAGGAACATGGCAGCAGGTGTGCGTGCCAGTCTTGTGTTGGCACCACGCACTCGCCCTCTGCTTGCACACGGAGTGCAGGCTCCCGAGGAGGAAAGGAAATGCTGACTTACAGAGGAGAGGGGCCAGGAATAAGCTCTTGGTACTGGTTCTGTGAAAATTTTAAAAAATACATATGTTTTTATTGATTTCAGAGGGGAAGGGAGAAGGAGAGAGAGAGAGAAACATCAAGGATGAGAGAGAATCATTGACCGGCCACCTCCTGCACACCCCCTACTGGGACAACCAGGGCGTGTGCCCTGACTGGGAATCAAACTGTGACCTCCTGGTTCTTGGTCGACGTTCAACCACTGTGCCACACCAGCCGGGCTGTTTTAAAACTTTTTATGCAGTGATTGGTAGTCTTATACTTCTAAACGTTGTTTAAGTGTTTAGGATTTTACACTAAAGACATTTAAATATGTTCTTTCAGAATATGGTCTCCGGCTGGCCAGCCATATATTTGTGAAGGAAATTTCACAAGATAGCTTGGCAGCGAGAGATGGCAATATTCAAGAAGGCGATGTTGTCTTGAAGGTACACTCTTACTCTTACGTTTTAGTGAACGGAAACAGAAAGCCAGTTCTGGTGGGACCACATGGCTTCTGCCCACGTTGGAAGCAATTTTCCCAAAAGAATTGGAATTCGGGGTTTTGGGGGGCTGGCTGCTTCGCCACGTCCTTTTCACATGTCCGCACCGATGCCCTTCTTTAGGCAGAGAGTCACCCTGAGAGGTCTCCTCGCTGTGCGTGTGTATCACTCACTGGCAGAGCCACGGTGTAGGAAGCTAGGTTCCTTTTTATACCACCAGTGGTGTTGACAACCGCTCTGGATGTTATTGAGATGTTCATTCTGTTAATTTGCTGTATACGTAATAGAAAGTGACTGGCTTTGGGCGAGGGGCCAGGGGATGCTAGTTTGGGTTTTCTGTCCGAGTAACAGTGTAGTAAAGATTTTATTATTCCGGGAAGGAGGGGGACTTGATCATACAGCAAAGGGTGAAGACTGTTTTGGGTTGTACAGCGAGCCGGGGAGCAGTGTAGCCACTCCTGCTCATAGTGGACGTGAGTTACTGTTTGTATCTGTGTCATTCGCTTCCCACCCATGGCTGCTTTTCTGTTGCAGATAAATGGGACCGTGACGGAAAACATGTCCCTGACGGATGCCAAGACGCTGATAGAGAGGTCTAAGGGCAAGCTGAAGATGGTGGTGCAGAGGGACGAGCGGGCCACGCTGCTGAACGTGCCCGACCTCTCGGACAGCATCCACTCTGCCAACGCCTCGGAGCGGGACGGTGAGGGCGGTCCTTGTCCCTTTACATGACCCGTCCCTTAAAGTGCTAGGGAGACTCGGCGTGTTTGAGCAAAATAGTTTCCTACAAGCCAGCCACCTTCAGAATCTAAGAATTACAAATGTATATGCATGGTTCATTTTATTTTTCCCAGTTTTACAGAGAAGTAATTAACATGCATCAGCGTATAAGCTTAAGGTCTAAGCGTGATGATTTGACTTGCATGTATGCTGAAATGATGGCCACAGTGATGGTGGGGTTGGCTGCTTTTGTTTTTAAGAGTCCACATGTAAGCGAGGCCATGCAAGTATTTGTCCTTGTCTGACTTATCACTTAGCATGATGCCTTCCAGGCCCGTCCATGCTGTCACTGTCTATATGTTTTCCTGTGGACAGCACGCCACTGCTGATCAGTGGCTGCTGACGTGACTGCTTAAATCAACCATTTTACATGAAATTAGATTTAGTGCTTATCTCCATTTTCATTGGACTACCTTATATTTCACTGAACTCATTTCCTGGGAAACTAAATGGCCCCTTTTATTTAACAGACATTTCAGAAATTCATTCGCTGGCATCAGATCATTCTGGTCGGTCACATGACAGGGCTCCCCGCCACAGCCGGTCTCGATCTCCTGACCAGCGGTCAGAGCCTTCTGACCATTCCAGACATTCGCCACAGCAGCCCAGCAACGGCAGGTAATCACACTCTTTTTAAAATATATATATATTTTTTATTGATTTCAGAGAGGGAGGAGAGAGAGAGAGAGAGAGAGAGAGAGAGAGAGAGAAACATCAATGATGAGAGAGGATCATGGATCAGCTGCCTCCTGCATGCCCCCTACTGGGGATCGAGCCTGCATCCCGGGTCTGTGCCCTGACCTGGAATTGAACTGTGACCTGGTTCATAACACTCAACACTGAGCCATACCGGCTGGGCAGTAATCACACTCTTGTCCAAAATAGAATAGTTATGTGTGCTAGGTCCGTGTTTCTAACATTACTTACAACTAAATCTAGAAGATAGGTTTTCTTTTGACTATTCAAGATTATGTCTGTTTTTCTTAATCAATTTAAGTATTTCTTATCTAGAAAAACAGAGGTCAGTCAAACTTCTCCTTAAAGGGCCAAATAGTAAAATATTTTAGGCATGCGAACCATATCCCTTGTCACTACTCAGCTCTGTCTTTGTATTACAGAAGGAACCGTAGACAGTATGTAAATGAATAGGCCTGGCTGTGTTCCAATAAAACTTTATTGATAAAAACAGTTGGCCCACAGCTGCAATTTGCTGAGGCCTGCAAGCTTATATAATTCACTGCTCAGGGAAGGTAACCATAGTAGGAGTATTTTCCTAGACTGATTAGCCTGTTGTATAGAACACGCGTTCCAAAGTGCAACCTGTGGCCCAAAGCCAGCCTGCTGCCTAGTTTTGCAAATGAAGTTTTATTACAACCCATTCTGCAATGACATAATTAAGAGGTTGCAACAGAGGCTGCATGACCCACAGAAAAAGTTAGCCAATCCCTGGTCTAGAATGTTAAAATAGTTTTGTTTTTAAGCTAAAAAACAATCTCTGGGTAGAGAGAATGATTACACTGATTTTCTTCAGACCTTGTTGTTTGTTGCTCAGTTTGTGTTTTATTCAGTCTTGTTTCAGAGCTCACACTGGGCCAAGACTTGTGCCTGTGTGAAAACAGTTCTAATGTGAAGTCTAGAATACGTTACACAGCACAGCTCTAGGTCTGCATGCATTATTGAATAATGCCTCCATCTCTTGGTAGATAACAGAAATGCACTAAAGAGAGCATTGATTTTTCAAATATTAAGAAAAATGTAATGGAATTATATGAGTCCCATCTGAAATGTCATTGAAATCATAATAATTGTATTACATAATAATTGTACTATAATCATAATAATTATAGTATTTTCATTGGCTGCCTCCTGCACACACCCCTACTGGGGATGGAGCCCGCAACCCGGGCACGTGCCCTGACTGGGAATCGAACCATGACCTCCTGGTTCATAGGTCGGCGCTCAACCACTGAGCCAGGCCGGCCGGGCAACTGCTAGCTTTTTAGAACCGTGTGAGAGCTGTTAGAGGAAGTCCCTTGTCATCATTTTTTAAAGTTTTTCTCTTACAAGTGACGTTCGCAGCCTTCTTCGCTCTCGTGACTTGTCATTTGATTCATGTGTAGTCACCGGAGCAGAGAGGAGGAGAGAGCGTCCAAACCCGGGACTGTCTCGCCTCCCGTGAGGCACGCGGACGATCGTGCCCCGAAGGCGGTGGAAGAGGTCCCCGTGGAGAGAAACGAGAAGGCAGCAGCCACGCTTCCAGGTGAGCCTCAGGGGCACCGAGTCCAGAGGACATGCCCTCCGGCCGCAGGTCTGCCGGGGTTTAGGGGAGACTTCAAAGTGCTGCTAGTGTTATTGTTGTTGTTATTGTTATTATTATAGCTACTGCTTCCTGCGTTGAATTTGTCTGTAACTTCCAGCATTTTCTTTATGGTGGAGGGTTACCCATGGGTAACAGCTACTCACAGTGAGGACGGTGGTTCTGCAGCTGCTCCCTGAAGAGAAACATTAGCTTGGCTGAAGAGAAACATTTTAGGTTATCTGCTTAATGAAAGGGTTTTCATAAACACTTGTCAAGTGTGCCCTGTAGAGCTGTGTGTGAGATCAGACATAAGAATCCGAAGGTTTCGAGATCTACTTGCTTGAAAGGCCTGGAGGTTTCAGTTCTGCTGCCTCTTAGGTCCTTTTCTCAGGTCTTTGGGCTCTGCTTGCTTGTGGTGGAATGTGGGTAATGGGAAAATAAACCTCCCGCAGGAAGGCAGACAGCTGCTTGGGTGGCCATAGCAGAAGTGTCGGCTCTCCTACATTCTCAGTCTCCTGGGGCTCTTCCTGCACCTGGGTTTCTCGGGCCCTCCCAGCTGGTCCTGTGGAAGGCACGGGCGAGGGTGCCACACCAGGCCTGTTACCAAGACGTTAGAGTTTATAACTAACCACACTCTTCACTCTTCACATGTAATACATGCACCTTACCAGGTTCTCTGAACTCACATGTTTTATAGACCTTCTTGTTTGATTATTTCACTGGTTTCTTACATTATTATTTTATTTTTTAATAAGTGATTTCTGCACCATTTAAACGTTCTCTCTTTTAGAACCGAAGCCTGTGTATGCTCAAGTTGGACAACCAGATGTGGATTTACCTGTCAGCCCGTCCGATGGTGTCCTGCCCAATTCCACGCATGAAGACGGGATCCTTCGGTAACGCGGCTTTAACTTGGGCTGTCCTCTCTGTCCATTACTAAGCGTCATTGAACGTGAGAGTTCCGTTTCCAACCATATGGCATATATTTAAAAGCACTGCATCCCATTAATGCTGTGATTGGGTTTTAAAAATTATTTATGTGATAGAATCAGAGATTAGAGAACAGCAAAGGTACTTTCTGGATGTTTACTTTTTTCTTCGTCATTGTCTCCTACCTAGTTTTTAGGTCATGAATTAAAAAATTGTTTTCTATTTAGACACCAGATTTTTGACAAACCTTCTAATGCCCTAGCATTTTTTTTTTAATCAGCCTTTCTCCATTTCAGCATTATTGACCTTTAGGCCAAATCTCTGTTTCTTAGTGGCTTGTTTAGTAGCATCCTTGGCCACTAGCTGACAGTACACGTCCCTCCCCCCCTCCGCCGGGGTGTGCCAACCAGAAATGGTTCCAGACACTTCCTAGGAGCAAACACAGCCCTGGTTGAGAGCCTGCTCTGATTAGT